ACCTTTTTCACCTGAGTGCAGGAAAGAGAGCAGAGATGCACTTTAAGCAAGGTGGGGGGTGGGCAGGAGGCCAGGGGGCTGGCCTACACCTCCCACAGACTAAGGATGGCCCTTTTTGACATTTCTTGGGTCTCCCATGGGGTGCCCAGCCGGCCCTGCCTGCATGGGCCTGTCCCAGGGAAGGAGTGTTATCCCCACTTGACTAGGGGCTAAGTAGAGGTCCTCTGAAGTCTCTTGGCCAGGCAAAGAACCAGGAAGTGGTTCCTGTAACCCGGAAGTGATTTAACCAGTAGTGTCTCCAGCCCCAGAGTCCATCGCCATCCAAGGCCTATCTAGCAGGTCCCCACATGTATCGTCACAGCCCGGCACAGAGGAGCCAGAGGAGACTCCCCAGCCGGTCACACTGGGTCACATGGTCCCTCCTGTACAGGGAAAACACATCCCTCGGTTTTAAGTACAAAAATGTGGACAGGGACAGATCTGCACCAAATGCCCTCCCCAGGAGTGGCCTCCACTTTCCATGATGATCCCCAATGACCCACGCCCTCGTACACTATGTGCCTTTTCTTCACGTGGCCAGTGGACATGACAGACTCCTGTGACAGGTTATGTGATACGGCGAAGGTGAAGGGACTTGGGCAGGTGCAATCAAGGCTCCCTGTCAGTTGATGTTGATCAAAAAGAAATGTAATGGTTAATTTTATGTGTCCACCTGACTGAGCCACAGGAAGCCCAGGTATCTGGTTAAACTCGATTTCTGGGCGTGTCTGTAAAGGTGTTTCTGGAAGAGATAAGCATTTGCATCAGTAGACCGAGTAGAGCCAATGGCCCTCCCCCCCATGGAGGGGAGGCGATTGGCCATCACCCAACCCAAGGGGGGCTTGGCTAGAACAAAAAGTTGCAGGAAGGTGCAGGAAGGTTGGATTCCCTCTCTACCTGACTGTTGATCTTTGCCTGCCCTCGGTGCTCCTGGTTCTCAGGGCTTCAGACTCAGACTGGAATCCACACCATTGGCTCTCTGGTTCTGAAGCCTTGGAACTACACCACTGGCTTTCTTGGCCTCCAACATGCAGATGGCAGATCATGGGACTTCCTCCATAATTGCATGAGCCAGTACCTTACAGTAGATCTCTTTCTATATAAAATGGAAGATATATAACATCTCTCTTTCTGTCTCTCTATAGATAGATAGATAGATAGATAGATAGATAGATAGATAGATAGATAGATGATAGATAGATAGATAGAATAGACACAGATATAGCTACTATTGGTTCTGTTTCCCTGAAGAACCCTAATATAGAAAGGTTGTGCTGGGTGGGCCTGATATAATCAGGCAAGGTCTTTGAAGCTGGGTCTAGAGGTCAGAGATGTGAAATGTCAGTGATTCTCCTGCTGGCCTTGAAGCCGCCCAATTCCATGAGTTCTACAGATGAAAGGAAATGAATTCTTCCATGTGAGCCTGGAAGAGGACCCAACCTCAGATGAGACAGCAGCCCCAGCCTACACCATGATCGCAGCCTCGTGATCAAGTGCCTGGACTCCTGACCCATGGCAACTGTGAGAAAATTAGAGGATATTATTTTAAGCCATGGTATTTATGGTTATTTGTGACACAACATAGATAACTAATACACTTCTTGTGTTAGTTTGCTGGGGCTGCCCTAACAAGGCCCCACAGGCTGGGTGGTTTAAACAACAGAAATTTATTTTCTTATATTTGAGACTAGAAGTCCAAGATCAAGGTGTTGGCAGGGTTGGTTTCTTCTGAGGCCTGTCTCCGTAGCTTGTCTTCTCCCTATGTCTTCACATGGCCTTCCCTGTATCTGTCCGTGTCCAAGTTTCCTCTTCTTATAAGGACACCAGGCATATTGGTTTGGGCACAGATATATGACTTGATTTTAAATTAATTACCCCTTTAAAGACCTTATTTCTGAACACAGTCACATTTTGAGGTATGGGGGTTAGGACTCCAATGGACGAGTTTGGGGAGACACAACTTAGCCCATACCGTGGTGTGAAACAAATATGACAGTGTTGGCCTCTGAGTTCTTGGTTGGGAACACCAGGAACCTGCCACCTGTAAATTTTCACAATAAGTTTTAAGAGAAACAAAGTCCCATTGGAACTAGGTAGAGAGATCACAGATGAGCAGGATGGAGGCAAGTTTTGTCTGGGCTCCTGGCCTGATCCTGACACCTCATTTCCCCTCTCCCCATATTAGAGAGGGATTCAGGAGTGAGGTCTCCACATTCCAGGTGCAGCAAGGCCAGCAAAGGAGGTTTGGGGCAGGGCCCTGAGGTCTAGGCACTACCTCTGCTTCAAACCCTACATAGCTCCTCATCACTCTTGCCTTCATAACCCAACTCCTACCTGGCCTACAAAGCCCTCAGGGTTCAGCCCCTGTCCACGTCTCTGACTTTACCTCTTCCTATCGTTCCCTCTGCCTGGGAAGCTCCTGGCTGCCCTGTCTTCCACTCAGGCTGCAGGACAATTGTCACCTTCTCAGAGATGGCCTCTCCATCTGAAGCAGCACCCCTCCCCCATCCAACCTCCATCATCCTGGACTGGACTTTTCTTGTTTGTGGGTGTCTCCCTCCCAGACTCCTCCAGGGACACACTGTGCTCGTCTTGATCACTGCCATATCCTCTGTCTACTGTAGGTGCTCAGTCAATGTTTATTAAATCACTAAACGTCCCCCCCACCCACCCCCATGATGAGGGTTGGGATGGGGGAAGGGAGCCTGTGAGGACCTTCTAATACCAGGAAGGGCAGGTCCTCAACAAACCTCAGAGGAAGCCAGCCCCCAGCTGTGGGTGACGCTTGTCCATGACCAGACAGGAGGAGAGGGGCCCAAAGGTGAGGGTGCCGCCGCTGGAGCACAGCCTCCCAGCACTGCCCGGGATGTGGGCGCCCCCTGGTGGAGCATCCCTAGGCCCGAGTCCGGAGGGCTGGCGGCCCTAGCTGTGTTCCAGACTCCCCTGGCCGAGGGACAGAGCTCGCTAGCAGATGCTGCCCTTGGCTCCTGGTGTTGGATTCGGGTCTGCTCCTGGAACCCGGCTAGCAAAGGTCACGCCCCGGCTATGCAGTGGCTGTCCTTGAGCCTGAACCCCGACCTCCAGAGGGTCCCCTCCCCCACGGCCCCTTGCCAAGGGACCCTGCACGTTCCCCTCTGGGCCTGAAAGTCACAGGAGAGGAAAACTTCCAGGCTGTCCCACAACATCACATGCACGCCCAGGATGTGCACACACACGTGAACACACACACATGCACGCCTTGCCCAGGGCAAGAAACACAGACACAGACTTGGAGAGACACTGTAGAGACAGAGACGGCCAGAGAAGCTGAGAAACAGCCATGGCAAGTGCTGTGGTCAGAGACAATGAGGAGGGAAGGACAGGAGACATCCAGGGAGGGGCAGAAAAGCCAGGAGGGGCCAAGGGGCAAAGTGCAGCTCAGTGAGGGGGCTGGAGAGCCTTGGAGGCGTCCAAGACGGTCGCTTGGTGTCTGCCGCGGTCGGCCTGGTGGCCCCCATCCCGAGCCCTGGGCCCGGCCTCTGCTACCGTATTTGGGCTGCTGCCCCAGTGCTGACCCTGCCCACAAGCGCAGGGTGGCGGGCCCACGCTGACTCGAGTTCAAATCCCAGCTTGGCCACTTACTTGCAGCGTGAGCTTGGAGAAGTCGCGGCGGCTCTGGAAGCTGGAAAAGGCTTAGGGGACAGATTCTCCCCTGCAGCCTCCAGAAGGGACACCTCGCCTTCAGCTCAGAAGACCCACCTTGGACTTCTGACCCCCAGAACTGCAAGAGGATAAATGTACATGGTTTTAAGGTTTGTGGTAGTGCGTACCCCTAGGACACTCACACCCCCCAACGCAAACCTTTAATGCAGTCCCCCCCAGAGCAAACACGAAGACACCTCTCCCGCGCCAGCCCAGACCAGGGTCCCCCACTTTGGCCAATGCCCTCCCAGGAACAAGAGGACCCCACTCCCACCCCCCAGGAGCCAGCCTCCTCCCCACCCGCCACGTCCCAGCCTCCCCCAAATACCAAGGGCCCCCCAGTCCCTCAGTACAATGCCTTCAGGGAAACCACACCCATGTTTTCTCTTCCCCTCCCACGGCCACAGCCAGGCTGTGCCAGAAACAGTCCCTCCTGTCACCCACCTAAGCACCCAGGCCAGCCGGCACCTGTCCCCCGCCCCCTCCCTTGCTCACTCACTGCTCTGGCGGAAATGCAAGGGTTTGGGGCTCAACCCCCTCACACAGAAGCCAGCCCTTCCTGCTGGCTGGAGGCCTTGGGCACAGGCGAGCCCCCTCTCTGAGCCTGTTTCCCAGGATGCTGGGCCCGGAGCCGAGGGAAGCACAGGGGGGATACATCTGCAGGTGGGTGGGGAGATGTCCGGTGTCTGCCCTGCAGCTGGAGGCTGCCAGCATCCCTCCCAGGGAGCCGTGTCCCCCTCCCTCCCAACCTGCACCCAAGCCTCCCACCACTCCCTCCCCTCAACTCCAATTAAGGGTCCTCAACACTAATCGATGCGGTTGACTCAGCCCCTGGCCTCGCCTCCCTAATGAGGCCTTTGTCCCCATAATTGGCTATCTCCAGGTGCTTTTCTCTGCCCCCCACCATGCTGCCCTGTCCCATATCCTAGGTCCAACTATGTGCTAATTGGGCCCCTGGGGGGGCGCACATAAAGCCCCCCCCCTTGCCTTCCTATATCAGCCCCACCCACGGGTTCCTCAAAGCTCTGCATCCAGCCTCCAGGAGGTAGGGGTGGGGCATAGGAGGGAGGACTTGTCCTAATTCCCTGGGCCCTGCTTCCTCCAACCAGAGCCTTGCCTCCCCTCCAGAGTCGGCCTGCCCCTCCCAAAGGCCCTCTCCTCTCCTGTCTGCCGTCTGCCTCCCCAGCCCTGAGCTCCTGGCCCTGGTTGCTCCTCTCGCCTCAGATTTAGGAGCTGCTTTCTGATCAGCAGGAATATTGTGGAGAGCTATCACCCCAGCCATGCACCCCGGGACCCCTACAGCCTCTGCAGTCTCTGAGCCCAGCCCTCGGGAACTGTGTGCCTTCGTGAGTGGGGCAACCACCCACATGCTGCGTGCCCTGCACCCTCGGCGGACCCGGACCCCCAAAAGGAGACCCAACCACAGGAGGTTTCTGCACAACCAGATCTGCAGGTGAGTGGGGGTGGACGAGGGGAGGGGCCAGACAGCTCAGAGTGGGGGAGACCAGGCCCAGACAGAACAGAGAGAAGGGGACCCCAGAATGCAGTCAACACTCAAGATGCATTTATTGACCATTAACTGTGTACCGGGCCCCTGAGATCCATCTGTGCAAGTAGACAGAACCCCCTGCCTCATAGAGCCTGTGTTCCAGCGGCAAGGCAGCTGATCAGGGACAGCTAGATAAAGTGATACATGGATGGACCTTGAGAACATGATGCTGAGTGAAAGAAGCCAGACATAAGGCCACATATCGCATGATGCCATTTCTGTGAAACATCCAGAACAGGCAGAGCCAGAAAGCAGGGGAACAGTACCAGGGGAGGCACTGCTGGAGGCAAGTGGGGATGGTGAGTGATTGTCACTGGGTTCGGAGTTGCTTTCTGGGGTGACGAAAAGTTCCGGAACGAATTAGAGGTGGAAGTTGCACATTGTGAAGGTACTAAATGCCACTGAATTGCACACTTTAAAGTGGCTCATTTTAAGTTATATGAATTTTACCTCAATTTTTAAAAATTATATGGCATGCTATGAGGTGATAAGTGCCATGGAGGGTGTGCTGGGGGAGAACTGGCATTTTAGGTGTCAGGGAAGGCTTTACGGAGAAGGTGACAATTGAGCCAAGACCTGACTGAAGCCAGGGAACAAGATGTGGATGTCTGAGGGAAGAGCATTCCAGGCAAGGCACAGCAAGTGCAAAGGCCCTGAGGCAGGAACATCCTTGGAATGCTTGAGAACCAGTATGGCTGGGGCACAGTGAAAGGGGGAAGGAATTAGGTTCTAAAGAAACAGGAGCTCCCCATTTAGCACTATATCATTCAGCCTCTGGGCCTCTGCACATCCTGTTCCCTTTGTGGGACAACGCCCTTCCCTGTCTCTGGGAATGTAGATGGGGACCTGAGCTCCTTCAGGTCTGTACTCACGCCTGTCCTCCCTCTCACACCTCACCCAGCCCTGCCCCACCTTGCCCTGTGCTCTCCCCTCACTTTGTGACAGTAACCAGTTTTTAAGCACTTGCTGTGTGCCAGGCACACCATATTAAGGGTTTGACATACGATATGTCACTTAATGCTCCCAACAAAGAGTAGGTTGCACAGTAGGTTGTCTTTGTCCCTACATTAGCAACGAGGAGGCTCAGAGAGATTCGATGACTTATCCAAACTACACAGCTAAAGAATGGATACAACCCAGGCACTCTGAGTCCAGAGCCCATGTTCTGTACTACTTTGCTGTCCTGCCTGGAAACAGCCTCTCAGGGACTTGAGGCTGACGATGATGTGATGATGGTGATGATGGAGGTGATGGTGGTGATGATGGTGGTGATGATGGTGATGATGATGGTGATGATGGTGGTGATGGTGGTGATGGTGATAATGATGTGATGATGGTGGTGATGGTGATGGTGGTGATGATGTGATGATAATGGTGGTGAAGGTGATGATGATGATGGTGATGACGATGATGATGGTGGTGATGATGATGGTGATGGTGGGGATGGTGCTGATAATGGTGATGATTGTGATGATGGTGATGATGATGATGATGGTGGTGATGATGATGGTGGTGATGGTGATGATGATGATGATGGTGGTGATGGTGATGATGATGATGGTGATGATGGTGATGATGGTGATGGTGGTGATGACAATGATGATGATGGTGATAATGGTGATGGTGATGGTGATGGTGGTGATGATGGTGATGATGATGATGGTGATGATGGTGATGGTGGTGATGACAATGATGATGATGGTGGTGATAATGGTGATGGTGATGGTGATGATGGTGATGGTGGTGACGACAGTGGTGATGATGACAGTGATGGTGATCATGGTGATGATGGTGGTGCTTGTTCTGAGCACTTTAGTATAAACTTATAATACTCACTCACAGTGAATACGAATTCATTAGTCCCCCATAGTAACCCTAGGAGCTAGGTGCTATTATAATCCTCATTTTTCAGATGAGGAAACTGAAGCACAGGGAGGGAAAGTGACTGGCCCAAGGACCTGCTTTTCTCAAAGTAGGTTGTCCCTCCCAGCCAGCCCAGAACCTTGCTCCAAGAGGTCTTGGAACCAAATCTGAGTAAACAGGAGCCTGGTCCAGCCTAAATCCTGCCTCCACACTACAAGACACCTTCCACCAGGATGCCCAGCGCGGGCCACACTGTTCACTGCCACTACCCTACACACCCATTATTGAAGAGGAAAACACACATCTCTTCAAACAGGCTCCAGCCCTGTGTCCCAGAGCTAGCCTTCTCACTCCTCTTCAGCCCCTTCATCAACCAGTTCAGGACCCCTCCCCCATCTCCAGCCCCCATCTGGGTTCCCTGCCCACCTCCAGTCTGGACCCTGGGCTACTGCCAGCCTCTTACCTCCCAGGTTCCCTGTCTAGCCTCCCCCACTCAGCCTCCCTGCTCCCCCAGGGCCAATTCCTCTCCTGTAGCATCCCAGACATTCCCACCCCCATGCCTGGCTCTGTCACATGCTCCCCGGAGACCCAGGCCTCCCACGAGTTGCCTCATGGGCAGCCCAGGCAGCTCTGGAGCATATTCCCTGAGAAAATCCAGGTCAGAGGTAAACTATCCTCGGCAGCTTCCCACCCACGTCCTCCTCCACCCTCCAGGCCCCCTCAGGCCCTGCTCCCTCAGGAGCCCCCTCCCACCCATGTATATGGATTTTTGACTTTTTATTGTGAAGAATTTCCAATCTACAGAAAAGTCAAGACAGCTAGCTGTCTGACAGAGCAGTTCTCAAAAAATGGTCCCCAGACCCACAGCATCAGCACCTCCGCACAGTGTGGGGATGTGCTAGAGATGCAGATTCTTGAATGTCACCCCAGGCCTGCAGAACCCAAAGCTCAGGGGCCCAAGGACCTGTATTGCCACAAGCCCTCCAGGTGTTCCATTGTGCTCTCAAGTTAGAGAGCCACTGGCTTAAAGATCACTCACGTACCATCACTTAGACTTTACTGCCCGTAACATTTTAGCCTATTTCCTTCATCTATCTTCTTAAAATAGTTCAAGCAAATCACAAATGTCATGACTCTTCAGCCCTAAATGTCATTTATACGGAGTTTGTTCAAGTCAACTCCCCCCCCCTTCCCACCCCCATTCTCTGCCATTTAACCTGACCTCCCATTTCTGAACATTTTTCCTGGGGACTCAGAGTGTAACTATTCTCTTTGGCGTCAAAGACAGTTCCAGAGTAGCAGCTCTCACTAATTTATTTATGAGCCTATCTTCTTGTGGTAAAATAGACATAACATAAAATTCACCATTTTGAGTGATTTAAAGTGTGCACTTCATTGGTATTTCGTATATTCATAATGTTTTGCAACCAGTTACCTCTGTCGGGTTCCAGAACATTTTCATCACCCCCAGAGGAGATCCCCTACTCCCCAACCCCCCTCCCCCAGCACTGACAGCCACCAGTCCGCTTTCTGTCTCCAGGGACCTGCTTATTCTGGACATTTCATGTAAACAGAACCATACAATATCAGCTACCTGTTTAAATAAAACCTTTTCTGGAAATTTACCAACTATAAGAAATGCACATAGTATTGGCGTAGAGCTTGACGAATTTTCCCAAAGGGAACCTACTAGTGTAAGCAGCGTTCAGGTCCAGGAACAGGGCCCTTCTTGCCCCTGGAGGCACCCATGGTGTCTCCTTCCCATAAGCTGCCATCCTGATTTCTCTTACTGTCATCGGGTTAGCCTGCTTTTTGAGCTTCAAATGGAGTCATGCAGGTACGAGTTGTGAGTCTTGCTGCTTTTGCTCAACATTATGTTTGTGCATTGATCTCCTACAATTGCCATAATCAAACACCAGCGACTGGGTGGCTGAAACAACAGAAATTTACTTTCTCATGCTTCTGGAGGCCCCAGTCCCAGATCAGGTGCTGGCAGGGTGAGGCCTCTCTCCTTGGCTTGTAGATGGCCTGTGTCTTCCTTCCACGGGTCCCAACCTCCTCTCATTGGATTAGAGGCCACCCTCACCATGTCATCTTAACTTAACTACCTCTTTAAAGGCCCTGTCTCCAAATACAATCATGTTCTAAGGTACTGAGTGTTAAACCCCCAACATATGAATTTTAGGGGGACGTAACTGAGCCCATCATGGTTTGTGAGATCTTTCCACATAGTTCTTGAGAGGTAGGAACGATAGGGGAGGGGCCAGTGTGATGGCTGTTGTGGTCATCCAGACAGGAAATGCTGGGGACTTCAACCAAGGATTGGTGGGGATGCGGAGATGGGCAGATTCAAGAGCTCGGTAGGGAGTAGAATCCCCAGCGCATCACTGTTACACGTGCACCCCTAGCCCATAGTGCGCCTTGTGTGGAAGACACTTTTCAAGGCACCCTTTCCTTCAGACGTTTTTTACTTTTAAACATTGGGATGTGGTCATAACAAATCTAAGTGTCAAAAATGTGCACTGTGCTGAACTGGAGGTGCTACCTTGTGCAGTACAAAACCCCCACAGCTGTTCAGAGCTCCCCTATGAATGGGGTTAGAAAAACTGAATTGTCAGACTCAAGAAAGGACCCAGGTAGCACAGAGCAGAAAAATGGAGAGGAGGAGAAGGAAAAAACTGGTCCTGGGAGGGCAGACAGGAGGGGAATGCCTCACGCTGCCCAGTAATGCTCCTCTCTCTGCAGGCAGTTTGCCAAGATTGAAGCTGCCACCCGGCGCCTGGCGCTGTCTATCCTATCCCAGGAGGCACCTCCCCAGAGACCTGCGCCCCGGAGGCCACCCCTGCCGCCTCCATCCCCCTTCCTGGGGGTGGCCTGTGCTGTGGCCCCCACGGAGGCACCCTACGCGGGCCCCAGCCTGAGCCTCGCGGCCCTGGACACCTCCACCCTCGACCTCTTTGATGACATTGCACTCACCCCCGAGTGTCCCTCAGGGCCATCTGAGTTGTCCCTCTGTGCTTGGAGCCAGCCAGACCTGAGGCAGGCTTCACATTTCTATAATCCCCTCCCCTCTCCCCCAAATGCCCCGGGGGCAGTGGATGGGCCCTGGGCTCCTGAGGCGTATTGGGTGGGCACGTGGGAGGTGCCTCGTGCCTGTCATTCTCAGGGAATCCCTGAGGGCTGGGGTACCTGCTCCCCATGATGCTCAACCACAACCCAACCCAGGCCCCCCCCCCCCGCCACCGGACAAATCAGAGGCCACCCTCATGATAGTTCAGCAACCACCCCCCAGGAGCCCCCTGTCCTGTCAACTCCCCTCCTGGCAACCCCTGGGAACATGAGCCAAGCCCAGACTCCTCCCACCTCAGGCCACGTCTTCTCCTAGTCCAGGTCCCCCACCTCTGCCTCTGCCAGGGGTGACCCCTTGCACTCTCCCTCCCCCACCTTCTCCCTCCTTTCTTCCCAGGCCCATCTCCTCAGTGTCTGCCGCTCCAGGCTCCTCTCACCTTGGCTAATTTCTGCCTAATGTCTGGTCTTGTCTCATTTATTCCCAAATATGTACCGAGGGCCTACTATGTGTCAGGCCCCATCTAGATGCTGAGGATTCAGGAGTGAATAAACAGACAAGATGTGTGCATTTAAGGGGGTGGGGGGGGATTGACAAAGGGTACATTCGTACATTTCTTAAACGCAAGATAAATTTCCAATTTCAGATTGAAATTAGGGCTGTGAAGAAAATAAAACAGAGACTTGACTGAGTGGCTGTTTGACATCAGGTGCTCAGGGAAAGCCCTGAACGACAAGGAGCCGTCTGAGCGAAGGTCTGGGGCTCCAGGCTGAGGAACAGGACGTGCAAAGACTCCGAGGTGGCTGGAGCAGTGTGAGCAGGGCAAGTGGTAAGAGATGAGGTCGGGGAGGTTGACAAAGGCAAACATGAATTGGGAGTGGTTTGGATTTGATTCCAAGACTGATGAGGAAATTCTCTCCCCAACTCTTTCTCAGCCCCATTTCCAAGCACAGAGTCTAAATATTACAAACACCACGCAAAACAAACCACCAAACAGCACCCTAGGAGGCAGGTGCTGTACAGATGGGGAAACTGAGGCGGAGTGGGGTTGGGAGGACTTAAATCCCCTCTCCTGGAAAGCGCTTGGGTCTCTTGATAAGTTTCTGTTTCTAGGCCCAAGGGCCAACGTTCGAACCCCAGGCCTGCCTCTGCTCTGGCTACGCCCCTCCCTCCCTCATTCCTCGGCCTCAAAGGTCTGGTTTATACAATGCGGGTGGCCGCTACCCACCTGCCCAGCTGCAGTTCGCGTTCTCCGCACCCACGGCGCCGCTCCGCCCCGGGCCCGCCATTCACGCCCTTCCCGGCTCCCCATTGGTCAGAGGCGCTGCCTTCCCGCCCCCCCCCCCGGTGGGCCAATCACGCTCTCAACATTGACAGTGTGCCCGGCACCGCCCCTCCACGGAGGGCGAAACAGCCTCGCCTGTGGATTGGCCGGCCGCAAGGGCGGGGCAGAGCTTGGCGAGCGCCGATTGGGTGGCTCGGCCTGGATGGGCGGACGCGGATGGCGCGGGGGCGGGCCACGTGTGGCGACCCTACAAAAAACGGTGACCTAGCCTTGGAACCCGGCAGGAGGAACTGAGCGGCTTAAGTCCGGGCTTTGAGAGGTGAGTGTCCCCCAGGCCTCTCCAGCGAAGGAGCGGGACAGGCTGCGGCCCGGCGCCTTCCGGGTAAGCCTCCCCTCCCCCAGGGCTGCAGGGGGACCGATCTCCCCGCCTTGCAGGTGGGGAAACGGAGGCTTTGCCAGGCGGTCCAGGCCGAGGTGACACGGCCAAGGGGAGCACTCCTGCCCAGGCCCTACAGAATTGGCTGGCCAGGGACTCGAGCCCTCCACGGGTCGCCCCCGCCCTCTCTGCATCCCCGGCCGAGTTTTGCCTCATCCCTATGAGTTTGACCCCTGTTTTCAGGCTCAGACAGAGCATGAAACTTGCGAAGGGTCACACAGCCAGGAAATCCCGGCTGCAGGGCTGCCCACCCCCCAGGCCCCGTGGGCATCTAAGCAGCACCCCCCTCCCCCTGCTGCCCCTCCTCCTCCCGCCTTGGACTCCCTCCACCCAGAGCTCAATTCTGTACCTTCTCTCCACGGCACCCGCAAATGGGTCTCCAGCCCAGACCTCCCCACATGCGTGCACACACACACACACTCCCCGCCCTCAATTTTTCATCTTCTTCCCCCCACCAATTCCCCTCTCCAGGTCCGCGGTTCCCCCCAGTTCCCCTCTCCAAGTCCCTGGGACTTGCCACCCATGAACCAGAAACGTGAAGATCTTCCTCCTTCTCCCCTCCCCCACAGCCCTGCCCCCTGAATCTCTCTGCCCTCTCTGCTTTAACTAGAGCCCAGGCCTCACCCTTGCCCACCTGGACCCCAGCCCTGGTTTTCTTCCTGGCCTCCACCTCCAGTCCAGCCCCACAGAGGCCAGCGAGGCCTCCCCCATTTTATCTGATATTTTGAAAACTTTTTATGGAGATACACTGCATATGCAGGAAAACCATACAAATCGCAAGTACATAGCTCAAATAACGTTTCACATAGCAAACGCTCTGGTGTAAACAGCATCCGAATCCAGCCAGAAGTAGGACATCCCCCACATCCCAGAAGAGCCCCCCTTGGACCCTGTTCTTCACTGCCACCCAAGGATAACCATTCATTCATTGATTCATTCATTCATAACTTCACCACCACAGATTGGTTTTGCTGGGTTCTCACCTCATGTAAATATTTTATTGTATTGTAGTTATTATGGACCAGACAACCAATCACACATTGTCCAAAATTGAAAAGGAACAGAACAGTACACAGTTAAAATCAAGTCTCCTTCACACCTGGTCCCTCAGTGACCTGCTCCCTGGCCTGAAGTACCTGCTCCATATAGAGAGGAGGGCTACACTGGCTTGTTCTCTCCTGATTGGGGCACAGATGGGAGCATTGCTATATACACTGTTCTGCTTCATTTCACTGTTACCCCTCTTGGACAATTTTTCATATTGTTACTTAAAGAGCATGCTTGTCATTCTTCCTGGCTGCAAAGAATTCCATAGTATAGACATACCGTAACTCAGGTGACGGCTAAAGGGCTGCCCAACCGTAGATGTTTACATTGATTTCTATTCCTTTGCTCTGTGGAAGAGTCGCATAATGAGTAACCTAGGCCTGGTAGTGAATAACCTCATGTCTCACATGGATGTCTGCAGGGCAAACACTCAGGAGTGAGTTTTCTGGGTCACAGGGTTCACATAACTCTAATTCTGAGAAATGTGGTCCCACGTGCTTCCCTAAGGGTTGTTGCAATCCACACTCCTACCAGTGTGCAGGGGAGATCCTTGTTGCTCCAGACACATGTCGTAGGCTTGCAGCCATTAGAGCCCTGATCTGACCTTGACCCTCCTGTCTCCTGAAGACTCAAAGAGTAGAAGTGAGAAGAGCACCCCAGCTGGAGGGACCACCAGCAAAAGGCCTTGAGATGCAACATGACTGGCCAAGGCTGGAATGGTCCACAGCGCCTTGTAGGAGGGGGTTATGTTTTAGTCTTGAGGACAGAGAGAAGCCATGCAGGACGGTGGGGGCTGAGACAGGGGAGTGACAGAGTCCGCTTTGTGTTTTCAGATTTTCTCTCTCTCTCTCTCTCTCTCTCTGGCCAATTCCTCAGGAAGAATTTTGCACTCTGCCAAGATAGATCAGGTTCCCTAGAAATCCCAGCACTGATCACAGTTGTAATTATGTGATTAATTCATTGTGTGGTTTTGTTTTTGTGGGAGCTTCCATGCCATTTTGTTTTTAGATAAAATTCACATAGCATAAAACTCCCCCTTCTAACCATCCATCCTTTTTTATAGTTCAGATATGTTGCCCATAGAAAACATTTTCTACAATAGACCTGTTCATCTGAGAGAATTCCCATAAACACCTGTGTGTACTTACCACCCAGCCTTCACACCTCCCCCGTGTTAACCCTTTGGCCTTCCACTAGGTCTGCAGGGTCTCCCATGTCCCAGATAAATTAACGAGTAAATGAGTGAGCATACAGGGGATGAGAGCTGTGCAGCAACTTGGGGACCCAAGGACTCAGACCTCCTGGGGACATGGGCTGGGACATGCTGAGACTCAGGGCCCCAGGTGCGGGAGACGGAGCCGCTCTGACCGGGAGGCTGGCTGTCCTCTAGTCCTGCAGGACCTCGGGCAAGTCATGGACCACTCTGCGTCTCAGTGGCCTCCCCGTAAAAGGGCTGCTGGGCAGGTGGCTCCACCAGCCCCGCCCCTTCTTTCGCTCTCTCTTTTTTTTTTTAAACCGTGCTAAAGTACACATAATGAAATTTACCATTTCAACCATTCTTAAGCGTACCATGAAGTGGCTGTTACAAACATTCATGACTTTGCGTAACCGTGGCCACCATCTAGTTCCAGAATGTGTTCATCACCCCAGATGGGAACTCTGCACGCATTAGGCGATCAGTTCTCATCTCTCCACCTGCCCAGCCCCTGGCAGCCACCAGCTGCTTCCTGCCTCTGGACTTGATCCCTGTGGGCAGCGGTTCATATACAAGGGCTCCCACAGAGGGGGGCCTTCAGTCACTGGCCTCTCTCACTGAGCACAGCGATTCTGAGGTTCATCCATGATGTAGCACGTAGCAGCGCTTCATTCCTTTCTACAGGTGGATAATGGTCCCCTGTGTAGGTACCCCCGCCTTTCTGTCTAGGAACCATAGGGACATGCAGCCCGCATTGCACACATGGGTAACTGAGTTTCAGAGGCTCAGCTGGGGGGAGTCTGACTTGAGGGAGTCAGCACCGCCCCTCCACCCAGGCTCTTTTTTCCTCAGGAGCCACATCTGATCCATTAGCTGCTTGGGCCCTTGGGTGGGTCACTTCACACCTAACCCTGAGGGTGAGGATCACAGTTGGAGCCTGGAGTGTGGCAGGAGAGAGGGTGACCTTGACAGAAGGAAAAGGCTTCCCAGGGCCCTGGGAGAGTGAGGCTGGGAGCACCAGGGTGGTCAAGGTCAGAGAAGGCTTCTGGGGGAAAGTGATGTCCCAGCTGAGTAGGACACGTTAAGAAAGAAATGGATACCAGGCCCCAGGGAACTGCAGACACAAAGGCCTGAGGGTGGGAGCACAGTGGTTTCCAAAGCACCGTGTAGGACCCTCAAGGGTCTAGGTGCATGGACCCTGGATGTGCAAAGAAGCCCCTTGCCCATCTGACCCTACCCACTCAGCACCTCCGCCCATCCCCAGAACATGGCAGCTGTGAAGCCCAGCCTGGGCCGAGTCCTCCCTGGATCATCCATCCTGTTCCTGTGTGACATGCAGGAGAAGTTCCGACATATTGCATACTTCCCCGAGATTGTCTCTGTGGCCGCCCGCATGCTCAAGGTACAGCCCCTCCTCCCTCAAACCAGGTATCAGGCCCCAGCCTCCTCCCTCAGACCCAGGAGTCCAACCCCCAGCCTCCTCCCTCAGACCCAGGAGTCCAGACCCCCAGCCCCCTCCTCCCTCAGACCCAGGAGTCCAGACCCCCAGCCCCTCCTCCCTCAGACCCAGGAGTCCAGGCCCCCAGCCCCTCCTCCCTCAGACCCAGGAGTCCAGGCCCCCAGCCCCTCCTCCCTCAGACTCAGGAGCCCAGCTCCCAGCCCCTCTGCCCTCAGACCCAGGAGTCCAGACCCCCAGCCCCTCCTCCCTCAGACCCAGGGGTCCAGGCCCCCAGCCCCCTCCTCCCTCAGACTC